AAGATACTACACTCCAAGAGCAAAGGAGAGACAAACAATGAGTGTGGAAAGTGGGTGGGAGAGGCCAGAGAGCAGAGTATCTAATGATGCAGGCTCTGCTGAGCTGGAGCTTTAAAAACTTTGTTTATACTTGGCTAATCCTATAGCTGCCTGGTCTTATTTATTATTTCTTATTCTGGCTAGTTCTACTCTGAGAGGGCAACTTTGTTTTCAGGGTACCTCGTATTGTACAATGATGACCACTTAGTCATGTCCCAAATAGTTTTTGTGTTGCGATATTTGTAGGTGACATACAAACCTACCTGGGAGGCAGGGTAGTGCTGTGGATCAGTGTAGACATAGGTGTCAGGCTCAGATTTATTGCCTGGTGCTGCTACTTCCAGCTATGTAACCTTGGGCATGCTGCTTAACTGTTGCAAGCCTTGCTTTGTTTGAGAAAGAGCTGGGAATAGTACTGTGAAAGGTGCAGGGTTATGAAATTCAATGAAATGAAGATATAAGATACATATCAGCACAGTGACTGATGTAGAGTGAATGCATTGTGATGTTGCTTGTGTAGTTATTGGTGGGCAAGATATGACAGAATCACAATTAAAGTGAAGAAAATTAGCATGCATAGTATCATTGGGTACTTGGAAGAGTTAAAACTGTGAATAGATTCATTACCCTATCTTTACACCACCACACTGCCAGTTCTGCATTTTAACTTTTCTCCCTTTCCCCCAACCTTTGGAATTAACCTGAAAAATAATATTTCATACTTTAGAGTCTAGAGAAGGAATTAAATTCTTTGAAAGCAGCAGAACTATCTAGTAAAATAGCAAATTAGGATTCAGTTTTATATTTAATTTGGGACCTTTTCAATGTGTTTCTTGAAAGCCTACAGAGTTCAGAGAGTAAGGGAGGATCCCTATGATGTGATTGTATATACAAATTCATATCATTGAGTTAAGGACAAAGTACTGTATTCGTTGTCAAGGAGAGTTGAAAGAATTAACTTCCTTTGTGTTATAATCTTTCATTTGTAGCCATTTGGGCATGATTTTATGTTGGCAGACAAGAATTTGTAATTTTAAAACCTGAGTTTGTAGCTACTGCGGAAGCTGAGGTAGGAGGATCACGAATTGAGGCCACTTAGTGAGATCCTATCTCAAAAAAGAAAAAAAAAGGGCTAAGGGTAATTGCTTAGTGACAGAGTCTTGCTTAGTGTGTACATGTGTAAGGCTCTGGGTTTAATCCCTAGTACTACAAAAAAGGGGAAAAAAAGATCGCTGTTTACACAGTTTACAAAAGTTTATACTATCTTTTTTATACCTTTAGATTCTTTTAGCTATCTTTTTTGTACCTTTAGATTCATAGAAATTAGCAAAAATTCTCCTATCAATTGGTTGATTAACACAGCTTTGATATGTTCTGTCTAGAACTAAAATTAAATGTAAGACTTTACCATTTCTAGAATCTGCCCTTTTTCCTTTGGCAGAAGATGAGGTGAGACACCTCTGATATCTATAGTCTCGTCTGGAAATCCTGTTACTTTGACATCTAGAACTTGAAACTGATTCCCAATATGGGGAAAACAGCTTTAAGTAGTATAACTAGAAAAGGTATTTCATAATATAATAAAATTTATATTTGGGACTTGAAATGTAATCTGAATGTCTTTATGTCTTCAGCCTTGTTTTCCTTAACATCCAGAGAGAGTGATTTGAGCTGAAGAACATTTGTTAGATAGAGGTTTAGTGTCTTCCCCAGATTTCTAAGAATTCCTGACGTGAAGTAGGATGTTTAAGTTTTCCTATCATTGCTCACCCAAAATTCTTGTTCACCATGTAATCTTCAGTACTCATGAGGCACTTAGGGGGTTTTCTTTTCAAGGTTCTTTTGATTTTATCTGTGCTGGAAAAGTAAAATTATTATGAGTGTGTTCTGCGTCAGTTTTGACAAAAAGTCTGGGATTCTGAAAAGTAATCACAGGGCAGGCAACAACTTCAAGCTGAATTTTGGACGTCAGTGTTCTCAAAGTTCCTTTGCTCTTTTTTACTTTATGGAATCCACTACTTACTGTGTTCCAAACTTCCAGCCATATTATAGGATTAAGTTAATTCCATATGTTAATCAGCAGCTGGTTTTTTTTTTTTTTTTTTTTTTTTTGTGCTAGGGATTGAATATGCTAGAACTGTATAGCTGAGCCACACTCCCGTCCCCCTCTACTTTTCTATAAGACATCATATTAGTATTTCCTTCAAGTCTGGAGCAAATTAGCAACATTCACAATTTGAGGAGAGGTTTATTTTGGCTCATGGTTTTAAAGGGGTTAGTTGCTGATCAGCTGGCCCTAAAATGGCCGTGTAGAAGGGGCTGAGGGAAAACTGTTGAATCTGTGGCATCCAGGGAGTAAAGAGAAAGATCCAGAGAGGGTATACAGTATACGGTTGGAAGGCATGCCCCAGGGACCTGCCTTCTCCAGCTGGGCTCCACCTTCTCCCAGCACATTCCACTGATGAGCCTAGTGTCTTCATGATCCAGTCACTTCTGCAGGTCCCACCTCTGAGCACGTGAGACCTCTGGGGACATTTCAGATCTAAGTCATAATAGAAGTGCTTGGGATTTTGTCTCTAAATTGTGGACCTTTCTTTTAGAGTCAGAGGGGCATAGTAGGTGTTTTTGTGAAGAAAGGAACTGTCTACTTGATCCAACTTTAGCCATAGTAAAAGTTAAAAGTTTTTTTTTTTTTTTTTGGTACCTGTGATCGTACTCATGACCTGGCGATTGCCAGGCAGGTGTTTATGCCACTGAGCTAAAAATCCCTGGCCCTTTTGTTTGTTTCTTATCGAAGCACAAAGCTTTCCTTCCTCTTAAGAGACTTAAGTCTTTGCAAGCAGAAAGAGGCAATAGAATATTGATATTTTCAGTTATCCGTTGTAACCCTAAGGGTTGTTGCCCTCACTCTTTGTGTTTTAGGAGAAATGCTTCTTATGAAGCATTTTGTGCATAATTATTTTTGTAGTGATAGCTCCAGTAATTAAATTTGGCAGTCTTATTGGCTGGCATGGACTCTCAAAGGTCGTGCATATATAGCAAGAGAAAGGAGATTTGGAAACAATTTTAAAAATCTTTATCGAGAGAATTCACATACCATAAAATTTGCCAATTTAAAATGTAAATTTAAGAGGCTTTTAGTATGTTCACCCAATTGTATAACCATCATCACAGTCACAATTTAGAACATTTCACCATTCCCTGAAAGAACTTGGGACAGTCATTTTCCATTTCCCTTCTATTTTCTTGCCCTTGGCCTTGGTCTTTCTGTCTTTGTAGATTTGCTTTTTTGTGGACATTTCTCTGGTCTTTTGAGGCTGGTTTCTTTATCATAGTTTTTTTGTGGTTCGCCTGTGTTGTGGGCAAATACTTTCCATTTAATGAGTAGATCATGTTTTATTACCCATTCATCACTGATGGACATTTGAGTTATTTCCATTTTTTGATATGAATAGTGCTACTGTGAACATTATGTGTAAGTAGGTAAGTGTTGTGTGGATGTATTTTTGCATTTCTCCTGGGTACATGTTTAAGAATGAGATTGCTGGATCATATGATAGCTCTGTTTTACTCTTTTGTGGGGGACAGCCAGACTGTTTTCTAAAGCTGCTATGCATTCTCATCTGCAGTGCAGGAGTGTTCCCTGTTTGCCTGCATCTTCATTATGCCTCTCATTATCTGGCCATCGTAGGGGGTGCAAACTGATAGAGAGATGAGATTTTTTTTTTCGAAATAAAACTCAAGTTTGTTAAAATAGGTATGACTGCGAAATTTACTTTTTCTGTGTTATATCAGTGTATTTGTACAAAAAAGATAATGCTAGATATGACAGATAAGGCTTTGAAAGCATAGCATACAAAATGAAGCGTCTTAATTAAAAGCCCTTCATACCAACAGCAACAAAAACAAAAAATGCCCGCCCAAAGGGGAGATTTTCTTTTCGTTTGTATGAAAGAAAACCATGCATTTTTAAAAGGTGAAACTTTAAGATAGTGTCAGCAGTACCCAGCCACAGCCAGCCAAAATTGACTGGGTACCTGCTAAATAAGAGAAGCCTGTGTTACATGGTGGTTTCTGTTGAAGGAGATTAAAATCTGGCGGGGCGTTAAGTGATCAAGGTTTAAAGCAAAAGCTGCCATTTAAGGCAGTGTGGTATCCCTGTGAGATGAAAGCAGGCTGTCTCAGGAGTGGACCCAGAGCCTCTCAACAGAAGGGAAGCTTTACACAGGACCACGAGTTGAAGGGGTTGAGGAGATGACTTTTTTTTCCCATTTATTTTTGTTTCAAGTGTTGAAATACTACTAACCAAGCTAACAATAGGTTTACCTGAAGGAGCTAACTGGTTCAAATTTATTTTAAGGATTAAGGGGAAAATTCAAATAAAAGGTACATTGAGAAAGAAAAGGGTAATAAGATCCTTTTAAAACTGTTTAAAAACTGTTATTACTTTGTAGTTTGCAGAGTGTATTTCAACCAGTTTGCTGTACTAGGAGGTTCTGCCTAAGACCTGCAAACCTCAAGTCATTCAAACACAGTACTTTTAAAATTACTTTTAAAACTTTTTAAAAAAGAGTTTTTTTTTATTTTATGGAAAAGTAAAACAATTTCATAACAAAGCAATAGAATAATAACAGTTAATACATTGCATGTTACCTTTAAAATATTTGCAAAATAGTACAAGACATGGGCATAAAAATTTAGCAGAAACCTTCCTGTTTAATGAACTAAGATGAGTTGCATTTTTCCCCTTTTCTCTGTCCTTTCCTCGTAAACTAAACCATAAAACAGCAGCTATAATATTAATGTTTTATTTTGAGATGCACTATACCTGAGAAATATTAGCTGGAGGATTAGTTTAAAATTGGTTCCTTTTTTTCTTTTTCAATTTAAGTTGGCTTCTCTAACCTGTTTTTATAATCTTTAGCTTTTTTAACCTTTTCCTTCACAAAACTTTCTTTTAGGCTACATGACTGCCTGAAGGAGAAGAACAATGTTATGCTGGGGATATTGGTCTCTGGGCCAGCCGGGTATTGGCACCCACCTGCGAGGGATTGTGGCCGAGCCACAGGCGTGTGGATTTGTGTCGGACAGAAGCGTCAAGGAGGTGGCCTGTGGAGGTGACCACTGTGTGTTTCTGCTGGAGGATGGGGAGGTTTACACATGCGGTTTGAACACCAAGGGCCAGCTGGGCCATGAGAGGGAAGGAAACCAGCCAGGTGAGCATGCTTTTGTGGGGAAATTGTGGGACGGGCACGTGAGGGCTGGTGGAAGGGTGCCTCTCAAGCGTTCATCCTTCAGGAAGGCTCTTGCTCTTTTGAGCAATCTGAGATTTGTCAGTGTTTGGAATCCTGTGTCTAGTTCAGTCCTTCTCATGGAAAAACAGACCTTTTCTTTTTCATCTTCATACATAGTATATGTAATATCACTTACCAGGGAAGGGAAGGTGACTAGTTAATTTTTTTCCCCTAGTAATTGAAAACTAAGTGTTGTGTAATAGTCCTCATAGCAGCAGCAGCTTTTCTCCCTAATAACCTCTCATGCCATTGTTTCTGCAGTGCAGTTTGTAAAACATTTGGTATTCAGCAGCATGCGGGGGCCTATGAGTAGAAAGATGAGTGATGTGCAGTGGTGAGGTGGCTCTGGGGACCTCCTCTGTGGCAAATGCTGTTGGGAAGTCTTGGTGCAGTAAGGCGGGGAATGTGCTGGTATGGAGCAGAAAGAAAGGGGTGTTGGTACTGGCCCTCGGGGTTCAGCAGGAAGAATAGGTAGGACTTTGCTGTGCATGTGTGTATGCATAAACGACTGTGACAGAAACACCAGCTTACTGCATGCTGAGTGTTTATGGATATGAGGGTGTAGTACTAGCTCACAGCATGTTGAGCAATGCACTGAGAGTGGTAATAGAGGATAATGGGAGAGATAAGGGGAAAGATAGGGGTTTATTTCCTTTCAGTATTAGTGCTTTTTTGCTGGGTGTGGTGGTGCACACCTGTAATCCAGCACTTTGGAGGCTGAGGCAAGAGGATCACTGTGAGTTTGAGACTGGCTTGGATTACACAGTGAGTTTATGGCCAGCCTAAACTATGCAGCAAGCCTTGTCTCAAGGAATAAAAACAAACAAAAAAGAGCTGATTTTCTTCTGTGACCCTGTTGCTCTTTTCTCTCATTTATTACTTAGCATAGTAAGTGAAAAGGGGCTGCAGTGTAAGTGTGGGAGGTGTGGTTTGTGGCTCCCACTTCTTTGCCTTGTGTCTCCAGGCTCCCCACCTGAGAGCCCACCAGGCTTCCTCATCGAGAGCAGTACCAGGTTTTCCTAGCCTGTGGGTTTTTTTGCTGGATTTCAGGGAAAGAGTTTGTAGAATCATCTAAGACCTGTACTTGTTTTTCGGAGAGGATAGGGATACTGAAGATTAAATCTAGGGCCTTGTGTGTGCTAGGCAAACACACAGCCCTTTTTATTTTATTTTGAGACAGGATCTTGCTAAATGGCTTACACTGCACTCCAAGTGTCAGTTCTTTTGCCTCAACCTCTTGAGGAGCTAGGATTAGAGGTGTGTACTAATGTGCCTGGCAGTCCTATACTACTGTGTGTACAGTACACCTAATACTACAGATTTCTGAGTGATTCTGATGTTTAAAAATAAAAATTCAGCTCTAAGTACCACTGGTTCATAAATCAAGAAGCCCTATTCATTATGTGTTTCACTAGTTAGTATAATACAGAAGTATAATACACAAGTTCTGTGAAGGTGGCAGGAAGAATTTTGACTTTTATAGATGGTATTCTTATTGGAAAAGATTAAAAACCCAAAGGTCATCTTCCCTTATTCCGTTGGAACTTAGGTCTCACAGTAAGCTCCTGAATGTGCTGATTCTGCGATAAGTATAGTGTTTAATCACTGCAGAAGGGTTTATGGCAGGTCAGACATCCACAACCTCTTCTGTCCTGGGGCAGTGTCCGTTCAAGCAGAATTTAGACATGTCAGGCCCACTTCTCTCCGCTGTTTCTTGACAGACCTGCACTCACGCTGGTTATAGCCTTTGAAGAGAAGATCTTGGGAACTGGGAGCTTTTTACACCCCTCCCGGGGTTAGCAAGTTTAGGGTAAACTCTGCAGTCTGCAGTGGGTATCCCACTGGCAACATCGCATTCTCTGTCCCCAAATGGGGATTATAATACTGTGGTTTCACTGGAGGAGGTAATCTGTGTGAATACTTATTACTCAGCGAGCGCACGCACACATGCACACACATGCCTTCTAATTTAGCCAGGGTGTCCAACCCTGTGCTGGTGCTCTGACTTTGGAATAAACCAGATTCTAGTGTGAATTACAAGATTTGAGAAATCTCTGTTGTTGGTTAAGCTTGTCTGTTAATTATAAACTCCAGAGCAGTTGTGGAATACTGCCTTCTTGAATGGAAAGATTATGTGGGTGTGTGCCTCCCCCTCTTTAACTTTTTCATTGCGAGGTATGTTCTAAATCTGGATGCCATTTCGGTTTATTTTTAATGAATGAGGAAGAAAGTATGAGCTTGCTTTTCTGTGTGTGACTTGTGGAGAACCCTGACCTAAGGAGCTGGTTTATAAGGCAAGTCAGTGGCAGATGACTGCCACCCTGCCCTGCCCAAGTCACCTCTGCTGCCATGAAGGGAGCTTTGTAGGCTTTGTTCTTCAAGAGGACATTTCTGCATTTACAACTTGACATCACCCAGGTCAATGCCTTTGAAATATGAAGAACTTAAAAAAGTGAATGTGTGACTATTTCCTGCAAGGCTTTGAGAATGCAAAGTGACTTCTGGTTAATCCTGTGGCACCTCACATCCACTGGCTTTAGACTGTTTTGCATACAAGTGAACAATTTAAGGATCTCCTCCTCCCCCATCCCCCTTGGGATGATGCCTTCTGGTCCACAGCCCTTCTATTGAGGGACCTCCTGCAGAGGAGGGGGGTTGTTTACCAAAAGTCTGGAAGGTGCATTTATTTGCCTTAAAACTATTTCCTTTTGCAATTCAGATTACTTTGTGAGTCACTGTCTGACCTTGCTGAGGGGAAGGAAGTTGGAAGAAGGTGGTGGTAGGAGAATCACCAAGATAAAGTCTTGTATTTAAACAGTGAGTTTTGAGTCTGCCCTGCCAGTTGACAAATTGGTTATTCTCTTTGTCTCCCACGGGCGCAGCTACAAGACCACATGGTTCATTTTTTGAACACAGTCTGTGGATATGAAAAGTGGAAGTATAAAGCACTGCAATGATTTTTAAAGGTTAAGTAGACCAATATCTGACAGTTTCCTGTTGCCAACGCTATCTGTGAGGCAACTGTTTTCCTCATTCATTTTTCTGCTTCTCACGTTAGGAATAGCTAGCTAGCTTTTATATTTATTTATTGGTACTTGGAACTGAACTCAGGGCCTTGCACTTGCCAGGCAGGTGCTGCATCATTGAGTTACATCCCTGACCCTAGTAATAGCTTTTGTACCCAGGCTTGTGTGTCTCTTTGTATGTTGGGAGGGGCTCCTCAAGGACCAGTCAGACACTGAAACTGATTATGTAGATTGCTCTTTAGTATTTCCTGTGTGTCTGGGAGCATTGGGCTGTAGCTTAGGTGTGTCCATGACTCATCCGTTTGTGCTAGGAATTCCCAGAAACATTTTCCTCTGTACATTAAAAGTCCAGATTCAGTGTCCAACTTAAAGTATTGAATTATAGCTCTTTTGTATATTCCTCTCCTGTGTAACTTTTCTCTCTGTCATTCTTACTCTTAAATTCCAATGTCAGTCTCATCTCCTCGCCTCCAATTGGAGACAGTTCCAGTGACTAGAAGCATTATAGTGTTATTTCCAATTTCCTTATGTTTTTGCCCATGAATTCATGTATAATTTTGTAAGACAAGAGTTTTAGAGCTGGTATCATACAAAGATTTGTGTGTTTCCACTGTTTCTAATAAAGCAAGCAAACAAAAGATGTTTTTCTCTAAAAATTTTTTTGTAGAGATTTATAATTGAGCATTAAGTAAATTTTGAAATCTTTTATTAAGATGAAATAGAGACTGGTCATTGAATTCAAAAGTTTACCTCAGTTTACTATGTCTCATTCCATCAGACTGTGTGGTAAACACTACTTTTCAGCTAAATGGACAGTTTTCCTTTTCCCCTCTGCATACTCTGATTTCCAATATTAGCATTTTAGTGTCAGTTAATCTTTGTGCTACTAGGAATGTCTGAATTTATGTAAGTGACTGCTAACCTTTCCATTTTGGGCAGGCAAGAACTGTGATGGGTGCAGTTAATTTAATCTTACTTGCTTCTGCTAAATTTAAAAAATTCTTGGGTACCTATTAAAGGAACCTTCATTATAGCAAACCCCAAAGGTAACAATTTTTAAACAAGCTTTAATATTTCCATACAACCCTGTTTGATTTGTATCTATGATTGGTTCTTTTTACTTCCATCTGAGTTAGTTTTTCTCTTTCTTGCAGGTAATTTAATCCAATCCGCTCACATTTTTTATTCCATCTAAGTATTTCCATAATGTTCATCACCATATGTAACAGCTCTCCTGCTGTTTGATAAATGAGGTTTGTAAAGTGGAACATTCAAAAGCCTCAATTCCCAAAACTGAGGTTGCTGCCAATGCTGATAGAAGTAATGCTTTCAACTAGCTTATCAGGTTTCTCTCAGGCATCTGAAAGACACAGTAACCCTCGTTTCCATCAGCCTTGCTTAAAAAAAAGCAAACTCGCTGAACAGAAAGGAAATAGAAGAAATCCTGTAATGACTTCCTGTTATTAAAGTGCATGTTTCGAAGGGTATGACTGATATAAAAGGTAGAGGGTTCCTTGGGAAATGTTCAGATCTCAACCTTGGTGCTTGCTAGGGCCCCTTTGCTCCCCTTTGGGAGTTAGGTGGTCCCCGAGGTGCACAGCTCTTCAGAGGATGGTGATAACAGCGGTAATCAAACCCAGTGGGATGTGTCGCCTTCTTTGGTAACAGGGTAGACAGCCATATGGCTCAGAGGTCTAACATCACTTACTTTCTAATGTGTTTAATAGGAAGTTACCTTTTTTAGTCAGTGGTACTACAGCTATTTTCTTTAGGCACATGTGGGTGTTTTAGAAAATGTAATGATCATACTCATAAATGTGAGGTATTATTTATGACATAAACATTTGCAGTATTACTTTTTTTGTTTGTTTGTTTTTGGTGGTACTAAACATTGCA